AAAACATATTAAGAATTGTGCGTTACAAAATGTATCTAAAATATACAACTAGTGGTCGCAACGCCAAAAAAAAACCGTATTAATTTTAAAATAAAATATAAGATTTTTTTTAAATACGTTTTCAATTTCTTTTCCCTTACCTTCCCTTCTTTTGTAATACATGTATGAACGTATGTATAAACGTATGTATGAACGTATGTATAAATGTATGTACGTGTAAACGTATGTATGTATGTATGTACGTATGTACGTATAAACGTATGTGTAAACGTATGTATAAACGTACGTGTAAACGTATGTATAAACTCATGACAAAGAAAATACGTAGAAAGACGTGATACAACGTGTTGCGACGTGTTTGAAATTCTTGGAAAGAGGGGGCTTGCCCCTTCTTCGATTTTAAAAGTATTATCATATACGAAGTATCACAATTTACGATAATGCTAAATACGATCAGTCTTGCGATACCCGCTTGTACGAAAGGTCCAACAGCAGCAGCAGCAGCAGCAGCAATGTTCTCCGCTGTAGGAAGCAACACACGAAAAAATTATTACGTTCCACTTCGGAATGATGATGAAAGTACATCATTTACGTAAAGATGTGCCAAATAAGTTTAAGAATCCCCCATTTTTATACTTTTTCAAATTATCTATTTAATTAATTATTTAATATTTTTTTTATATTTTTCTATAGCACGCCCGTGCATCGTGCGGTTCGCATACTAGGCAGGAAATACGCATTGACACGTACGTTATACAAATTTCTAGAAATTGGTATCAACGTTGGCCCACAGAGCTATGTGGAGATTGCGATAGGAGATAATCGTGGAAATGAATTAATACTATTAGGTGTACAACTTTGCTTCCGCCGTTTTTTTTCCGAAATTCGAGGCTTTTTTGTAAAAAACTGGTTATATATTTATGATTCAAAGTATTGTCCATCGCTGGCCACTACTTTCTCCCATCTTTCGGGCAGCATACAAATCCCGCGTCGAAAAAACTGGTCATCTTTTGAGGCGATCCACGAATCGATCCAATTTTTTACTTCTTCATAAGACCGGAAGTGCTGGTCAACCAGGTCGTGCCATTGATCGAAACAAGTGATAGTCAGAGGGAGCAACATCGGGAGAATACGGCGGGTGGGGTAGGACTTCCCATTTCAACATTTCCAAGTATGTCTTGACCACTTTCGCAACATGGAGTCGAGCATTGTCATG